TCCAAACATAAGTCAAAATCCCAAGATCATAACATATATAAAACCCCGCGTGTGTGTGTACTGATCATGCCGACGCCTTCCTGCGATCTTCACTAGTACCTGAAACACATAACACAAAACACTATAAGCACAAAGCTTAGTGAGTTCCCCAAAATACCACACATAACACATACTAGCCACTCGAGGCTATAACTCTGCGGGCCCTTGGACCCTAACTCTGTGGACCCTCTGGTCCTAGCTCTGTGAACCTTTCGGTTCCAACTCTGATACTCTGATATATACATGGCATAAATCACATAGAAATAATGCAGTGCAACACATCACATAACCAGCATACAATAACTCTGTCACATAACTCTAATTACCTACTCAAGGTAAAGTATAGTGAGAAGACTCGCCTCGGATGTCTCGGATAATATCCCGCCCGTGTATATACTGATCTAGCCTCTGCCTATACACATAACATAATCATCTCAATCAATCACGACTCTCTATGCTAGACTAGACTCTCACATGTCCTCTAAGAAGGCTAAAAGGCTATTTTACCCTTCAAACAGTCCACAAGTTCCATTGTTGACCAAACACTAAAAGTCAACAAAAGTCAACGGTCAACTCTTGACCAGACTCCTCGAGTGCATAAATGTGACTCGGCGAGTTCAGTCGTGAACTCGAGTCCTCTATTCCCCCTCTGACTCACTGAGTCATTCCCCCAACTCGGCAAGTCACTCACTGAGTGATTCACGGGAAACCCGAACCCTACTCGCCGAGTCTGCCCTTGGACTCGGCGAGTTCATGTCATGCACCAACTCAAATGACCTCCTGAGGTCAGATCTGTTCCTCTAATCCATAGATCTGGCCTTCCCAACCACTATAATCACGTAAAGTCTCGATCTTGATGCACATGCAACATTTATATGACCATATGATGATTTAGCCCCAAATACCTTAACCCAAGGCCATGACCTCTATTGTTCTTCATAAAGCTTGATGAATAAGGCTCTCTGGACCTCTATGGATCCAGATCCAAAGCCTTATCACCAGAAGGGGCTATTTGGACATCAAATCTAACCAACAAAGGGTCTAAGAAACCCTAAATCCATATGATCATCATAAGAACAGAAGGAGAGTCGAATTACTACCTCAAATGTGAAGATCTTAGCTCCAAATCCACAGAATAGCAACCTCCTATGCTTCCTCTTGGCTAGTACCTCCTTCTTCTTGCTAAACAACACTCCCAAGGTCAAGAATGGCTTCCTTTCTCTCTCAAAACGCTCAAGCACTCTAGGGTTTCTCTCTATGGTCTGGTAGCCGCCATTGAAGGCCATAAGGGCCTTTAAATAGGTCCCAAACCCAAGAAATTAGGGTTTCATTTAAACAGCGTGGACTCGCCGAGTCCACGTATGGACTCGCCGAGTCCAGTCAGTAATCCAGTCTAACAATGCGCGGCTCTACTCGGCGAGTCTAAGCGCCTACTCGCCGAGTCCCTCTCCAAAACTCAATATAAATTCATAAATTAAGATACCTGGAAATCCGGATGTTACAAATTACTTAGTATTGTACTCTTGTAGTCGGGAAGTAGTATAGTGTTGCATAAACTATATTTACCATAGTTTATATGTTTGTCTCTGAGTAATGCTCTTGAGTTAGTGAAACATTGTAATGAATCCCAAACTATACCTATTATAGTTTGTATATACGTTCTTGTTTCGTGTATTGAATTCTGTAAAAGTAATTTAATGTTTCTAAACTATACCAGTTATAGTTTAAATGCATGTTCTGTATTGTACTGAAAACTTTTGCAATTTAGTTGTACTTAGGAAAAGAACCCTTATGCTCGACATGGTACAAAAGGGTTAAAACATATAAATGTTTTAATGAAATGTAGTGAAATCTCAGTTTGAATCAATTGCAAGGTTTTGAAACTGTTGAAAACGTTTGTATAAAAACACAGAGTTCCTTGTGGTTTACTTGTATCCCCCCTAAAAACACTGAAAATAGTAAAATGTAGGGGTATGAAGTCACTTTTAGTACGTGCTCGTAACTGGATAGCGGACTGTAGAGATGACTCTCGAGTTGGCGTACGCGGAACTAACGGTATCCTAATAATATTTAAACACATAATTGTATTTAAATTAGCGAAACCATTAATTAAAGTGTTAGAAAACACTTGTTTTGTGTTGAGGGTAATTACCGAGAATTGCACAAGTGTTGAAGAGTTTTTGGTTCCAAGGGGGGTTCTCGGTCGAAAACGGTTCTCGGCCGAACACAGTTTTCGGTCCTGGGCTGTTTTCGGTCACTTGAAGATTTGTAGAATGTTCTTGGTGTTCGTGGTGTTTTTGGTGAAAATATGAAGATTTGAAGGTTTTCACTTGAAGGTTTGAATGTTCTTGGATGATCCTTGGGAGCAAAATGAGAGTATTTTCGAGTGAAAAATGTGAGAAATGATCAAGTTTTCGAAGAAAAAACTTATATACGGATGGGTTTTCGGCCGGAAAAGGGTTCTCGGCTGAAATCTGTTTTCGGTACAAAGGTTTTCGTCTGAAAACAGTTTGCTGTAACGAGGTTTTGCGGTTTCGAGGGAAAAATCTTGGCTTTTCGAGTGTTTTTGATTCCGAAAACTTATATAAACTTATATAAACTTTATTTATATAATTTAAATTATTTTCAAACCTTTACGAACTTAACGGAATAAATAAAAACTCGAATTTTATTTATCGGATTTGACTTTTGTTGACTTAGAAAGCATCGGGTTGTCACGAACTTTAAAAGTTTAAAATCAACTATGGTCGATATTCAATGGTAGATTGCTTGCTAATTTTCCTATTTTGTTAGGCCGAGCCTGGGCTAATAAACGGGCCCCCAGTAATACTGAGTCACAGAAGTGCATTCAATGTGCACACTGCACAACCTTTCTTCCTTTATGGGCTAAAAGTCAAACGCCAATGTTAATTTGTTTAATTCTTTCATCTAAAATCCAGAAAAGTAACAACTAATTAATATATATATATATATATATATATATATATATATATATATATATATATATATAACTTAAAAAGCATTTACCTCTTTTAGGACAAGAAAGTCTTAAATTTAAGTAGTACAAGATTTGAAGCATGAATTACAATTACTTAATGCATAATATAATACTTACAGACATCTTAAATATTGCTAGCTGGAATCCAATAACATTTGAAATGCTCAGTCAAACAAATTAGAATTCGGGATAAGAGGGAAACACTTTTTAAGTGGAGGACAGTAGATTACAAAAATTTGAATGTCTATTAAATGTTGTAAACACGTACTCTCTTATTATCTCAATTTCTCTTTAAAAACATAGCAAGCCAAAAGCAAACTCCCTCCTGATCAAACCACCCATCAAAACAAATTCCTGCAGAAAAAAAACATCAGGTCTCTTTAATCCTATACATATGTGTTTTTTTTGTAAGTGTTTCTACCTTCTCTCTCTCTATCTCTCTCTCCCTCTCTCTCTCTCTCTCTCTCTCTCTTCTGCAATTGGTGTTTGTTTTTTTTGTTTTCAGGTAACGAAACAGCCAGCAATCCACCCATCAAAACAAATTCCTGCAGAAAAAAAAAACATCAGGTCTCTTTAATCCTATACGTGTGTGGTTTTTTTGTAACTGTTTCTACCTTCTCTCTCTCTCTCTCTATCTCTCTTCTGCAATTGGTGTTTGTTTTTTATGGTTTCAGGTAACGAAACAGCCAACAATCCAACTTATATTCCTGTGAAAAACAAAAAACAAATATCAGGTATCTTTAACGTTGTGTGTGTGTGATTTGGAAATGCTTCTACCTTCTAACTCTCTCTCTTCTGCAATTAGTGTTTGTTGTTTTTGTGTTTTCAGGCAACGAAACAGCCATCAATCCAACTTATATTCCTGTGCAAAACAAATATCAGGTATCTTTAATGTTGTGTGTGTTTGTGTTTTGTAAATGCTTTTACCCTCTAACTCTCTCTTTAATGGTGTTTCTTGTGTTTACAGGCACGGATGCAACAACAATAGATAATGAATATTGTAACAGTTTCATTCATGTCAACTTATTTTAACGGATCGGTTTACTTCATTCCTATCATTTTATGCATATAAAGGGTTCTTACAGATTTTCTTCAATTTAAGGGTTATTCCTGTCACTTTATGCAATTTAATATTTTTAATGTCATATTCTGCAATTTAATATTGTTTAATGTCACTTTATTATAAAAAATATTTTTCGAGAAAAAACCCTTATTTCATAAAGAATAATTAAGGTTTTTGCAGATTAAAACTACTTGGAAATGGATGTTGAAGTTGTCGATGTCATTGTGTGTGATATATGTGGAGATGTAGGGAATGAACATTTACTTGCTATATGTAGTAGATGCATGGATGGCGCTGAACACACTTACTGTATGAAGAAAATGCCAAATGAAGTTCCCAAACATGGATGGTTTTGTGAAGAGTGCAAATTTGATGAGGGCTATGATCTTCCAAATCACAATGCAATTGTCCAAATGCAACCTATCCTGAGACAGTCCAATAAGTCATCAAATTCAAAGAAAGTTGCAGAAAATGAATGTACAACAGAAATTCCAATTTTACAAGAAGTCGCTATGCATGTAAATGAGGAAACAGATAAAGCAGAATTAAATTGGTGGATGCAGTATAGCCGTTATATGATTGTCGACAAAAATGGCTTCCTCTTAGGTAAATACAGAAAATTGGATGAAGACCTTTACATGAACATAACCTAAACATAATTTGATTTAGTGTATTTTGTAGATGATTTTTAGTTTGATTTTGAACCTAAATAGTTTGATTTAGTGCCTATTGTATCATCATACTTTGATTTGGTTGCTTATTATAGTATCCTACTTTTGTTTATTTTTTTATTTGTTACTGAATTTTTGGTTTATTGTTGGGTTGTATGATTGTCAACAATAATTGGTAATTATAACAATGTACTTTCGAGTAAATCTTTAAAAAGCATGTATTCAAAACATGCAAAAGAAATGTCGTTTTAGATACCCTCGACAATTCAATCAAACCACTTTACAAGGAAAGGACTCATATCCTGTGTACCGAAGGAGAGATAATGGTATACATGTGGACGTACGAGGCAATAAGATGGATAACAGATGGGTTGTCCCGTATAACCCAAAGTTGTTAATGATGTTTAATTGTCATTTGAATGTTGAGGTCTGCTCGAGTATAACCTCTGTGAAATATGTGTTTAAGTATATTTACAAGGGTCATGACAAACAAGTTATCAATATTGATTCGGATGGACAACCTGTTGTTATTAATGAGATAAAACGGTTTCAGGATGCACGATATGTCTCACCTCCAGAGGCAATATGGAGGATTTTTAGCTTCCCTCTTTCTCAGATACACCCTTTTGTGATGGCTTTGCAGGTGCATCTCCCAAATCAGCAGATGGTTAGGTTCAACGAGGATGATACGCTGACTAGCGTTGTTGAAAAGGAAAAAGATAAGAGATCAATGTTGACTGCTTTTTTTCTAAAAAATAAAGAAGATATCAGTGCAAGAGAATATAAATACAAAGATTTTCCAAAAAAATTTACGTGGGACACGAGATCACATCGTTGGAATCTTCGAAAACAAGGATTGATGCGAGGTCGTTTGGTTTCTGCCAATCCTGCTGAAGGAGAGCGATACTACCTTCGTCTACTTTTATCTCATATTAGTGGGCCTACATGTTTTGAAGATCTCTACACAGTCAACAACGTAAAACACCCAACATTCAGGAAAGCAGCTCTTGAAAGAGGGTTAATAGAGTCTGATGATGGTTTATCACAATGTCTTACAGAGGCATCTTTATTTCAATTTCCCAATGCTCTAAGAAGGTTGTTTGCAACTATATTGACTTTTTGTGAGCCAGGAGATGTTCGTAAGCTATGGTATGACCACTACAATGCTCTTTCAGAAGATTATAGGCGACAATACGAAAGTGTTGAGAGAGTCCAAAATATGGTCCTCACCGACATTAAGGTATTCCTACAATCTATGAGTGACAATATTGATGATTTTGATCTTCTAAAGATAAATGAAAATGTCAATTTAGAATCTGGAGTTTTCCGTGAGGTACAAGAGGAATGCTCTGTAGTTATAGAACCTGAACATTTACAAGCCCGAGCTTTTCTCAATCCTGAACAGAAATTTGTGTATAATGAGATCATGCGTCATGTCAATAATGATATTCCAGGAGTGTTCTTCATAGACGGTCCCGGTGGAACGGGAAAGACATTTTTTGTACAAAGCTTTACTTGCTAATATTCGTTCATGTGGTCATATTGCCCTAGCAACTGCTTCATCGGGTGTTGCGGCTAATAACATGCCTGGGGGGAGAACAGCTCACTCTCGCTTTAAACTTCCTATTAATCTTGAAAATAACTTGGTCTGCAAGATTTCAAGACAAAGTGGTACTGCCCAACTGCTTCGGACTGCAAAAGTAATCATATGGGACGAAGCATCGATGGCTAAAAGACATGCGTTGGAGGCGGTTGACCCTACAATGAAAGATATAACTGGGGTGATGCTCCCATTTGGTGGAAAGATAATGGTTTTGGGAGGTGATTTCAGACAAGTTTTACCGGTTGTTAGACGTGGAACACGAGCACAGAGTGTGAATTCTAGCATACGAATATCGCCTCTTTGGTCTTCGATTGTCAAGTTGAGGTTAACTATAAATATGAGAGCACTAACTGATCCATGGTTCTCAGACTTTCTATTACGTGTCGGTGATGGAGTTGAAGAAACAGTGCAGGGAAACTTTATCCGCATCCCTGATGATATGGTAATTCCCTTCACTGAAAAAAAAGTCATTAAATGCTTTGATTGATGCAATCTTTCCATCCATGGAAATTAATATATCTCAATCCGATTATATTATTTCGCGTGCAATATTATCCACAAGAAATGATAGTGTTGATGAGATTAATGATTTATTGATCGGCCGCTTCCATGGAGAGGAGAAAATTTACTATAGTTTTGATGAAGCCGTAGACGATATAAATAACTTCTATCCTGTGGAATTCTTGAACACGCTCAGTGTTAGTGGTTTACCCCCTCATTACCTACGACTGAAAGTTGGATGCCCGATTATACTATTACGGAATCTCGACCCATCAAATGGATTGTGTAATGGCACCCGATTGATATGTAAAGGTTTTCAGCACAATGTAATTGATGCCGAAATAGCTGTTGGTCAACATGCTGGAAAGAGGGTGTTTTTGCCAAGGATTCCTCTATGTCCGTCTGAAGATGACATGTTCCCGTTCAAGCTGAGGAGAAAACAATTTCCAATCCGATTGTGTTTCGCGATGACAATCAATAAAGCCCAGGGACAAACAATTCCAAATGTAGGAATTTATCTTCCAGAATCGGTTTTCTCGCATGGACAACTTTATGTGGCATTATCCAGAGGGATATCACGTACCAATACAAAAGTATTAGTGATCCCTGATGAACAATTCAATGGTAGTGAAGTCTGTACTGTAAATGTGGTGTATAAAGAAGTATTGCATGATCAATAATGCACAATCAATCATGTGTTAATTTGCATTTGTAAAGAATCCCAACGTTTCATTTTTAATTCTTACTGCTTTTGTTGTTACGATGACTCTTATTGATAATTGTTTATATGTAGTAAACTATTTGCCCAAAAGAAATAATCGTCTCTACAAACTAATTTCTGAATAAATATTCGCACCCGGCGCTTGGCGCGGGTAAACGGCTAGTATATATATATATATATATATATATATATATATATATATATATATTATTAAAGATATTGCCCATTTCTTGAAGATTAAGAAGTACAACATATATTACCTCATATACAATAATATTAAGCATACAACCAATCTTATACTTATTACATTACACGGATCATATACGTATTACACTACACACTACACGGATCTTACCCTAATCTCCTAAACACAGCCGCCATCAAACCAATTCTCATCGTCTCCACCAAAGATGCAGTGATCTCCACCAACGTCTCCCACCGAAGGTCCACGGCTGCCGACTTCCCCCACCAAAGATGCAGTGATCTCTCTCGCCTCTCTTTCTCTCTCTCTCTCTCGATCGCCATCAGAATGAAATGGAAACCCTAATTTCAAATTACCATTGTTGTTCCAGACAATATTCATCGATGCTTTCCCTTACTCTCGATGCTTTCCTTCACCCTGACTATTATTTTCTTGCTCTTCCCCTATCTCGAACAGTGAGTTACTTCCATCACCGCCTTCTGTTTCTTCTATCTCTCTCTCTCTTTCTCTACATCTCTATTTACTTGAAAGTGGTTTATGTTTAACAATTGATGACTGATTTGGTGCCTTCAGGGTAATTTCTGAATTGATCTCTTTCTCATCCTTCACTCTCCCTCTATCTACCCTAACTTGATGTCCATCCCCGCCACCACTCATCGATACTGACCACCACAACACTCATCAATGCAACCATCAATAACACCATATGGTGATTCTTTTCTCTTCTTTGCGAAGTTCAATCTGTTTATGCTCATCTTTCAAGATGTTGGAGGAAAATTGATGCAATCCTGAGTTCAGAGCAAGAAGTACTATCTCTCTATGTAGCAGGGCACATTTTTAGGGTAAACAGTTGATATCGGTCGGCAACCTGGTATATCGTTGCTTTTCTCTCTAAAATCATAAACATTGTTGATTGAGTTTCTTTTTTTAATTGTTTTTTTGACAGATCTGACCATATTCCCCTTTCTCTAACGTATGTTTCTCTCTGATTTTAAGACATTCTTGGTGGAAGTAGTTTATCAGGATGCACATCATTACGTATTGCTCATCATATATGTTTATTTCTGATTTTGAAATAATTGTAAATTTTTCTAACATGACTGGTTTTACTAATGGACTTGAATATGGGAAAACAGGGCACAAGCTGCCACCATGATAATCATGACGAATAATTATTGGAAAAGGGGTTGTGGATTGTTTTGGATTGGTAGCAAGGTATTAACTTTCGATCTTTATATTTGTTGTTTGATGGATTTGTTGGTTAACATTAATGATCTCAGGCTTAACAAATTTGTTTTCATGTAGTAAAAAGTGGGGATGAACATCAAGAAATAGGAAGAATTCAAGATTATGTTGAATTGGGTAACTCTTTTTACTCTCTGGTTCTTATTCAATTTCATTTTTTAATAAGAAAGAGGTATGTTTTCACCATTGCTATTTGCACATCTTTATCTCGGGTAATACATTATTCAAACATAAGCCCATATTTGTGTGTTTAATCTGCTGGTGTAAAGATCTAACATTAATTGATTTTTTTTTCGTCCAGACCCACAACAATTTGTGCATTATGATGCATTGTTCTAATTTTCAAAGATATCAATCAATGACTTGCATGGCTCTAGCAGGATAGTCATTTGGAATGATTGTGCAATGAAATGTTAACAATGGTGAAGGGCACTAAAAATACAACTCAAGGAGTCTTTTGAAAAAAAAAATAGAGGGTTGTTGCATGATATGACTGTTTTAAGATAATATGCCCTTTTTGTTCCCTGATTTACTTGACTTAGTTCTTTCACTTGTAGAGCTATAGAGACTAATATGCTGTCTTTTCTACATGTAACTAGGATTGAGGTGATCATTATGCCAATATTTGCTTCTATGAAGATGTTTTTTTATGATCTGACTGAGCTTTAGGGGGTGTTGGTCATGGGATGGTGAATTTTAATGTGAGTTACCTTTTATGTCTCAATTTAGTATTATTTTAGAGTAGACATTAGATAGTTCTAAATAAACTTACAACATTTTATTTTTAGAAATCCACCTTTATAGAATCCTTCGTTTGTATTTTCATCTATCGATTTATGTATTTTGTTTCTTCCTAAATAAAGATATCCAATTAGGGGTTGTTATCATTTTTCTCATTGTCTTGAACTATAACTTCAGGATACTGTGTTTGAGTTGTTTAGAGTGGGGGTATTTTTGTAATTTTGACTGTTGTATTCTGATGTAATGCATGATAATTAAAAAACAATATGTAGTATATGCAAACTTATAAAATGTTACTCCTCACTTTTGACAGATAATGAATAGGGTATGAACGATATATATAGTCACTAAAGCGTGACTTTGGTGGAGAAGACGAGACTTTGCTGGATTTTTGATGCGGGTTTGTCAGGTGGTTGGAAGTGACACCATCAACTTCATCGTGTACCTTTGGCTGGATATTTTACTTGGTTGATGTGCCATTTTCTATTGTTGGTGGCATACTTTTAGATTTTAGATACATGCCCTGAACAAAAATCACAAATGTTATTTTGGTTTTCATCTTATGTAGTCAGGATCCTAGATGTGAATGCATATCATGAACAAGTGTAATCAACTTAGGAAACTTTATATGTCAATTTGTTCTTTTGTCATGTAAGCCTAATATAACCTTGATCTAACTAAGCTTAGATGAACAATTAATTATTTCCATGTAGCTGTTAGATTAAAAAAGGTTATGTGTTGAGAATATGGATGTAATTTGTTCATTTGAGGTGCTAAGATGCTTGACGCCAAGAGATGTTCACACAATTAATAAAGAACTAATAATATAAATTAATAAGGATACCAATAACGATAAATAACATTAAAATGAAATTACATAATAACAACTAATAATTTAAATAAATAAAATATCTTGATAATTTAAATAATCAATTCAAAAAATCAATTCTTTGTCGACTAAACCCATAGGAAAGGTTAAAATTGCAATGAATATGAAACAGTTTTCGGAAGTTAAGTTAAGTAAGCTCATATATATATATATATATATATATATATATATATATATATATATATATATATATATGGTCAGGACATGACACTTTGTCGACTAAACTATTTAACAATTTAATTTATTATTATTAACATTCATTAAAATGAAGTTTAATATAAAGTAACATGATTTAGTAATCTTTCGTATTTTAGAAACTATTTATTTTATTTTATTTTAGAAAGTAACATGATTTAGTAAGCTAATCTAATTCTTAAGTTTTAATTTTTCTTACTTTCGTACATTACAAAAGTACTCTTTCGTGTTTGGACATTTTATTGGAAACAAATTATAGTCATGTATAAAAATTGATAACAAACTATAATAAGTTTATTATGGATGTAATCAGTTAGGTAGAATGTTATATTTATTCTCGATGAAACCACAAATAAATAAAAATAATTAACATATCATATGATTTAAAATTATACATTTGGAAATAGGAATTAACTTCAACAACACATCCAATTTGAGTGAGCAACTGGACCGTACCATAACTGGTGCCCGGTGCCAGAACCGTTTTGGGAAGTATGCAAGGAATGTGGATACGATCAATGATGATGTATGGTCCATTAGCATGGCCTAGACCACTCTAGCATGCCAGCCTTGCTGGATTCTCCCGCCGACCCGGCCTGGCGCTCCCTGGCCTGGCTCTCCCTTGTCAGCTTTGCTGGGGACTCCCTTGCCAGCCTTGCTGGGGACTCCCCCGCCGGCCCGGCCTGGCACTCCCTAGCCTGGCTCTTCCTTGCCAGTCTTTCCTGGTGCGCGCACGCCAGCCTTGTCTGGTGCTCGCTCGCCAGCCCCGCCCGACGCCTCCGGGCGGCCTTGCCCAACTCCTTGTTAGTTGGGCCTGAATTGGGCTGGCCTAAGGCCTGACCCAATTCCCCGTGACCTAATTGTCCACTATAAATAGAATAGTGCCTCCTCCATGAATGGGGACTTTCCAATGACCCCTTTTCCCTTGGACTCTCCCTCAAGTGGCTTAGCAGCCACCATAGACTTCCCCCATGGCTCAGCCGCCACACTATACTCCGGCCGGGTAGCTTAGCCGCCACCCGTCACCGTCAGCCACCATACACCACCACTAGCACCAAGATGGTTTTCTCCAGCTATGGAGGACCATCTCAGATCTTTCAGCTGATCTAACTTTACCGTCAGAGTCTGCTCCCGGGGCACAGTCCCTGGGACGGTTCTAACGACTTTGCACTGTGATGTCCAGATCTCCGCCGCAGCAGAAGACAAGAAGACTCGCCGGAGGTCGATGTCGCAACATTTGGCGCCATCCCGGATTTGAGCAAGTAGCAAAAGCCTCAGTTGGTTTCAAGCTCGTTTTTGCCCAGATCTGATGTGTTTTCATCTAAGGTTTGATCAGATCTGTTCATTTCTACACTCCTTAGTTCAGATTCGTTTGGATCTTGGCAAAGATCTATCCAGATCTGATTAGCTATGTTTCAGATCTTTCGATCTGATGCACTTTTTGTCCAAGATCTGTAGATGCACTTCATTTTTAGCTCAGATCTTTAGATCCAAACGTTTTTGTTTACTTAATCACCTCTCAAGTTCAAAAACACCAACTCAGACCCGTTTTTACTGATATTTTCGGGGAAAGAAGAGGTTCTTAGGAGCTCTTCTCCATCTTTGTTCATATTTTGGTGCTTTATCCAAGCAACTTGAGGGTTGAAGAACATTTTGGTTACTTTATTTCAGTCTATGTTGTAGAGAAACCATCTTTAATTTATGGTTTTTGTGCAAAACTCTTTTCAAAGCTGTCTATTTTCTTTAAAAGATTAGAAAATGAAACAAATTTCTCAGATCTGTTTGTTGCTCATGTTTTGATAGCTTGTTGAGCAAGTTGTAGAGGAAAAAGGTTTTATGAGAAAGAAACCTCATCAGATCCGTTTGGCCTTTGCCAAGATCTGTTTAAGATCCATTTGGTTCTTGCCAAGATCTTTTCAGATCTGTCTTAGAATCATTTGGCCTTTCAAACATTCCCCAAGCTTGCAAAAACCTTTTTAGATCCGTTTTTTTATATGTTGGGGGTTTGTTGAGCAACTTCAGAAAAAAAGAAATTTTTATGAGTTTTTACTTCATTTTCTGTTTATATGTTATAGAAAAACGATTTTAGTTTAGATTTTCTGTAAAGAACTTCAATTCCTGAAGCATTTATTTGTACATACAGCTGTGTAGCTTGTACATTTTACAAAACCCTTTCAGGAAAAGAAAAGAGAAAGGAAGTTTTTTATGAGTTTTACCCCATCTCTTGTTCATATATTATCAAACTCTTCTTCAGTTATGCATTTTCTGTAACAACCATTTGTACATACAGCCATATGGCTTGTACATTTTACAAAAACTTTCAAAAAAAAAAAAGAGAAAAAGAAGAGATGAACTTTCATGGGTTTTCAGAAAATCCCATTTGATGTATGATTTTCAAGTTTATCCAAGTTATTTAAAAGCTTGAAGAAAAAAATAATTTAGTTATAAGCTTTCTCAAGTTGTTTGTATTTCCATCTGAATATGTGTTTTTACCATCCATTCCACTTCATATTAAAATTCATTTCAATAATGATTTTTGGAATACAAGTGTGTTTAAGTTGTAAACACAGCTGTGATACCTGTATATTCCAAAGTCTATTCTATCTTAGAAATTATATTTACCATCAATATAGTTCTATCCCATCAGCCCAAAAAAAAGGGGGTAGAAGAGGAGTATCGGTTAATGAGGATGCATATGTCAATCCCCCTCAGCTAACAAACCCATGAATAAAAAAAAGGATAATCAGGTGTTGTGTATATAAAAACGAGCTAAAATACAGAATACTCCATGTGGACCCAGCTGGTCCAACTTTTACATACGCGTAAAAAAAAGGGGGGAGGGGAAGGAGGGCAATTGGCCCCAACGTTTACAACAATACTCTTCAAATAAAAAAGGCGTGTGGGTCCCACACGTTTAAAGAGCTACAGAAAAAACAAAACGGGCACCACCCGGTCAATGTAATCTCTCGGGCAGTCAAAGACTTCCCCAAACCCCGACTCAACTTAATCGGTCGACAACCTCCGGCCACTGAGCATTCAAACAACAACGCGATAGCCCCATCAACGGTCTCCATCGCCGCCTCCAACCTCCTCTATAGCTAGCAGCTGCCCCCGACGAAGCAATGGCCTTCCCCCATCGTCGGATTTCTCATAGTCGTCGGTCACCTTCAGCGAGTGATGCAGGACATCAGCAACCGCCGGCCTGATCCAGGGCGCCACCAAAAGGATCTCCAAAACCCCATGAGTCACCCATCTCCTCTAGCAGCTTGACTGTATTCTTTGTTTCCCAGCAGCAGCCATGACCCCTGTTTCTCAATTCGTTGCCAACCGGAGTTACAGCACTATCAGCCATTGTCATCTCCATTAGACCCTCAACATATTACGCGACTGACTCGCTGCCTGCAAGCTCACGCTTCGATTGTCTTCATGCATCCTCTGACCATCACGGTCGCCTCCGGCTCCAACGATAGCAGCTTCAATATTGAAACATGTCACCCCATTTGAACCATCCCCGCTGGCCATGTTCAAGCAAGGGTACAACAGCTCTGTAAAGCCACACCAAAGCTCCAATCTCCTTGTACAAGCCACGATCTAAAAAAAAAAGGAGATTAATCTCCGGTAGCTGAACGACCGCCACCAGCTGGAGTCAATACCAGCAGACCACCAGGGCCACCCGATCGCAGTTGATGTGATTCCAGTAAAAACTACATCTGTTCGTTTGACGTCAATTACAATCGACGAATTTCCTTTTCCCCCAATTATGAACAAAAGGAAAATCTATAGTGGGCCATAAATGTAACCCTATACCCGAATTCACTCAATATAAGAAGCTTGAGCCTCCCCAATACAAAGTTTGGGCTCCTATTAATAGTGGACTGCAACATTGGCGTCTCGGGAGTAGGACATGTTGGGCTCCTTTTAAACTTTCAGATTATTGGGTCACATTAGCAAATAAAACAAGTCAACTATGCAAAATAAAATCAATCGCTCGATACTAGAAGGCCACAATTTTATCCAAGAAAATCCAATTTGAGAAGATGTGTTGTGACCAGGTCTAACTCAACATCTTTCAAAAAAAAAAAAAGAACATGGGAAAAGAAATTGGGCTTATGGATTCGCAATTGGGCTATTACATTCATATTGGGATCATACACATTTATTTAGGGCTCCTTATGATTTATTATGGGCTTCTTCCAAAACAATTTTGCCAATCATCCATTCAGCGACTGTGTATTGCATTGTTGTCCAACAAAATTCAGAAGATGTGTTGTGACCCGGTCCAACTCTGCATTCCAAAAAGGGGGGGGGGGGGGGGAGGGAGAAGAGTAGTGTATTATTGCTACTACTACTCATGAAGCGTTTAGAAACAATCGTGACGAGCAATATGAATCGATTTATTATTTCAAGAAAAAATACTAACTATTTGATCGAGTTGTCTTTTCAGATAGTCGCTCTAGCGCTGCGACACTCAGAGTGCGCCAACAGCAAACTCGCGGAGCAAAGCCCGACTTGTAAAATATTTACAGAGGACTTGCGAAGTGTGCACCGCTGACCAGTCACTCAAAGTTCCCATCTAGCGGGCATAGAAATATAACTCCCCACCCGGTGTTGGCTGCAGGTCTCGTCCCCCTCACCGAGGTGTGCGTGCAACGCTCAGAGCGTCTATTTCTATTAACAACTTTCAGCTGTGACTGGAACGCGGGAATCATGGACCAAGTACGTTGTATCTATTTACAGACTTCGGAGCTCGACAACGGTCTTAGAGACTGTATGGCAAGCTTACTCTCCTCAGCTACCTTGGCCCGATGCCTTATCGACATCAGCGTCGCGTAACACTCTTTAGCAGCCTCGGTCTACATTATCGCAGCAACAGTTACGTTGCGTCGCCCCAACTGGGTTGCGCTCCTCTCAAGAAAGGAGTATCAAGTCAGCTCAAGCCGCATAAGCAATGTTTGGCTCATCGCATAACCCCACGGCTCTCGTGGGCGAGGTTCAGTCGTTTCCTCTTAATTATTTATTGTATTGGTGTTTTATCAGTTCGATCCGATTGTCAGTAACCCAATCGCATCAGACTAGGGAGACTTGACGACGCACAGTTCATATGACTAGTTCCAGTCCGATGTCATTGGCCGCGTACCAATAACACCAGACTAGGGGGACTTGATGATGTATGGTCCATTAGCATGGCGTAGACCGCTCTAGCGTGCCAGCCTTTCTGGATTCTCCCCCCGGCCCGGCCTGGCGCTCCCTGGCCTGGCTCTCCCTTGTCAACTTTGCTGGGGACTCCCTTGCCAGCCTTGCTGGGGACTCCCCCGCCGGCCCGGCCTGGCGCTCCCTTGCCAGCCTTTCCTGGTGCGCGCCCGCCAGCCTTGTCTGATGCGCGCTCGCCAGCCCCGCCCGGCGCCTCCGGGCGGCCTTGCCCAGCTCCTTGCTAGTTGGGCCTGAATTGGGCTGGCCCAAGGCCTGACCCAATTCCCCTTGACCTAATTGTCCACTATAAATAGAATAGTGCATCCTCCATGAAGGGGGACTTTCCAATGACCCCTTTTCCCTTGGACTTTCCCTCAAGTGGCTTAGCAGCCACCATAGACTTCCCCCATGGCTCAGCCGCCACCCGCCGCCGTCAGCCACCATACATCACCACTAGCACCAAGATGGTTCTCTCAAGCTATAGAGGACCATCTCAGATCTTTCAGCTGATCTAACTTGACCGTCGGAGTCCGCTCCCGGGGCACAGTCCCTGGGACGGCTCTAACGACTTTGCACTGTGATGTCCAGATCTCCGCCGCAGCAGAAGACAAGAAGACTCTCCGGAGGTCGATGTCGCAACAATCAACTATGGTATACCGATGGCTGTTTTTCCTATTCTTGGATCGCTACAACATTCATTGTGTAACGACATCCGATTGATATGTCAAAATTTTCAGCACAATGTCATTGATTCTTAAATAGTTGTTGGTCAACATGCTGGAAATATGGTATTTTTGCCAAGGATTCCTCTATGTCCGTCTAACGATGACATGTTCCCATTCAAGCTGAAGAGAAAACAATTTCCAATTCGATTATGTTTCGCCATTACAATCAGTAAAGTTCGGGGACAAACAATTCCAAATGTAGGTATTTATCTTCTAGAATCGGTTTTCTCGCATGACCAACTTTATATGCCGTGATTCAAATTGATATCACGTGCTAATACAAAAGTATTAATAAAGCTAACGAACAATTCAATGACAGTAAAGTTTACACATCAAATGTGGTGTGTAAGAAGTGTTGCACGATTAATAATGCACAATAAATCATGTGTTCATGTATATTTGTACAGAATCACTACTTTTCATTTTTAATTCTTATTGATTTCGTTTCTGTTAGCATGATTCTTATTGATAATTGTTTAGATGTAGTAAACTATTTTGCGCAAAATAACTAACTGCCTCTACAAACTAATTTCTCTAAAAGAATTTTTCGCACCCGTCGCTTGGCGCGGGTAAACGGCTAGTATGTATATATATATATATATATATATATATATATATATATATATATATAGATATATGAAAAAGTTAAATAGAGAACCATTATTGATCAAGGAACCAATGAATCAATCCAAAACGTCGAATTTAAAGCGATCAACGGCAAAAGGAGGGGTGTAAAATTTTATAATGGACGCACATGTACCGGATTATAACAAAACCCACTTTCTTTTTTTCATTTAAAATTTTTTTTAGGCCAAGTTTTTTATCGAAAAAAAAACGAATACACCGTTGTTCACGATTTTTCGTCCTCTTTCCATAGAGATTCATTATGATATATAAAAAACGAACTTTTTTTTCGAAAAAAACCCACTTAATTTTCTTAGTTTTTTCAATATTTAAGTTTATTTTTATAAAAAAACTAATTATACCAAAAATATTAATTTTTTGTATTCTATTAATAAACATCAACACCGATTAAAAAAAAAAAACCTCGAACTGTGTAGATTCACACTGTGAATCTAAACTGTAAATATTTCAATTTTTAACATTCACAATATGAAAAATCTCGAACAGTTCAGATTCACATTGTGAATCTGAATTATTATTATGCACACTGTGAATCTGAGAAAGTTCACAAAAAAAAAACCTCGATCAGTGTAGATTCACACTGTGAATCTAAACTATAAATATTTCAAATTTTAACATTCACAATGTGAAAAAGCTCCGATCAGTTCAGATTCACACTGTGAATCTGACTTATTATTATGCACACTGTGAATATGAGGAGGTTCACAATGTGAATCTGAACAGGTTCACAATATGAATCTGAACTGAAATATCGTTTTTTTTAACATAAATATGAATCTATGTTTAAAAAGTACAAAAATATGAATTTTGATATATTTATTAATTTTTTTCTATAAAAAATAGACCTTAACTTTTTTCATTAAAGAAAATTAAGTGGGTTTTTTTTCGAAAAAAAAAAAGTTCGTTTTTTATATATCATCATCGATCTCTATGGAAAGATGACGAAAAATCGTGAACAATGGTATATTCGGTTTTTTTTTTGATAAAAAACATGCCTAAAAAAAATTTTAAACGAAAAAAAGTGATGAGTTTTTTTTGTAAATGGTGGATTTTTTGGTATAATCCGGTGTGTGTGCGTCCAATGTAAAAGTGTACATTTATTTCCTTGGCCGTTATTCGTTATGATTTTCGACGCTCACGATTGGTTCCTTGGTTAATTATGGTTCTCTATTGAACCTCACATTTTATATATATATATATATATATATATATATATATATATATATATATATATATATATATATATATATATATATATATATATATATATATATATATATATATGTCATAAGTTTAAGAAAGTTCCTGCATAATCCTTATAGTCAAGAAATTTATTTGTAGAATTTTGTTTGAAAATTGGTTTTGCCCTAAAATGTTTAGAATTAATGTTTCGACTCAAATTAATTTATCTGGTCTTTAGAAATTACCATAATGTTAATACCTCTATTCTATAGCACTAGAACTTTTATTCTTGCCACCACTTTACTTTATTAGTAATAATAAAATCACAAATTCGCTCCATTCTAAAATAATTCAGCCTCTAAAGAATTACAAAGATACCCTTAAACTTTATTATTTGGTATTTTGTCAAATATATCATATATAAAACTTTATGGAATTATTAAGAATTCCTCGACCTTGTAGTTGTAGATTTATATTTTGACCATTTTTATGCATATTTTTAATGTAATGTGGGGACACTTTGCATGTTTTTTTTATTAAATGTGCAACGAAAGTGACTTGTAAAGGGATATTAATGATCAGGCTCTTAAAAATAATAAGTATATTTATTTTTTTATTATTCTCGAAAACGATTGGCATATGTCATGTAACATCAAACAGTTATTGTTTATCTTAAGATTTATTATAAATTACATAGGGGATGGAATTGATTGTCATGTAGGTTAACATATTACGAAGAATTTAGTGAAGGCCTAAATTGTCTAAGATGAGTTTAACGTTTATTTATGTTTTAATCGGTGTATATGTTTTACGTATCATTTCATTCGAATTTAGTGGTCACATTTCATTCGAATTTAGTGGTCACAATACAACAAGTGAAAATAACAATACAAAATAGACGAGTTTATGCGATACAAAAACTTGAACATATTTTGAAAAATAGTTACATGAAGATGTGTTAACGTATACATATGGGCTGACAAATGGACGTATAATTCATATATAGCACGAATCATGCTAAAATCGGCATGTCATGTGCTTTTATGTTGAAATTGATAGCTGTTTCTTTTTTACTTCACGAAATTAACAGGTTAAACATTTAATATGAACATTTATACATGATTCTCTGTGTAATTAATTTGAACATGACGACTTTATGTCTTAATGTTTTAACCAAAAAAACTTAGCTTAAATCTTAACATATTATAAAGACACTAACCATTTAGGTATTTGTCCTTTTTTTTTCTTATCAACTCCTCTTTTGTTATCGATGAATATTGTGGAAAAAAAGATTTAAAAAGTAAAGCTAAAATAATCATTTTGTATCATTCAAACGATTTATTCAATTTAGAAAAAAAAAACCTACGTATACAATACTTTATTCAAACACCATCACTCATTCATCATTTTACCTACACAAAACTTCATCCAAAAAGAAATAGTTGGCCCCTTTGTTGGTTGATGTTAGAGAAATCTGCGAAAAAGTCCCAAAATTTTGGCCCAGTTTATGATTTAGTCCTAAATTAAATTTCACTTATGAAAAAGGTCAGATTACCGGCTATTACACTCAGTTTAGCCCTAGGAACCGGTAATCCTTATAATAGCCGGTTACCCCAGCTGGCTCATCCTTATCACCCTTCACTAACCTCCCCGTCATCTACTCCTCCTCTGTAAAAACCCTTTCTTACCCTCTATCGAAGCAAAACGTTACCTGAGAAGAATCAAAGGTAAGAAAATCCACGTGGTCCTCCAATATCTTGTTTCCATTATAATATTTGATTAAATTTTGTTTTGTAGTGATAATGGAGACAGTAGATGACTTCGATACCATTGACGTGGAATTGGATGAGTTTTTCAAACACAAACAAAGAAGTCGATGCAAAGATGGCTTCCTAAATACTCTCACAGACGAAGCGCTTGACGAATGCACCATACCTGAGATAAACCTAAATGATTTTGAAGGAATGTCAGAAGATGAAGCACCACAGGAGAAGCAGAGTGATAGTGAAGGTGATGATGAAGACAAATTGCAGTTTCAATACTCAACCCATGATCCAAAGGTGAAATGGAACAATATGAAGCCAGTTCTTGGAGAGAGGTATGGATCACCACACAAACTAAAGCTTTGTTTGACAAATTACTTTATAAGTAGGGGTTATCCAATTAGGTTCAAGAAATGTGATAGTGTAAGGCTCGTGGCTGTATGTGCAAGTGACCCTGAGAAATTTCAATGTCCCTTTGTTGTAAGGGCCTCATGGATGAGCACTGAAAGATCATTCCAAATCAAAAAAATGGTTGAGCAACATACCCGTGTTAGGAATTTCCGTAGTGCTAATCTTATGGATCCCACATGGATAGCTAGGCAGTTTCTGAAGGAGATGATTAGGAAACCAAATCTGAAATGTAAGGAAAGGCAAGCTATTATTCAAAGTAGGTTCCATTGCAAGGTTTCATGGTCAAAATGTTATAGAGCAAAGTGTAGGGCAATTTCTTTAATAGATGGAAAGTTGAGTGATCACTATGCAAAAGTTTGGGATTATGGACATGAACTGATGAGGTCCAATCCAGGGAGTACAATTCAAATATCTGTCACTGTAAACCCTGATAACACTACTACTTTCCATAGAATGTATACATGTTTTAAGGCTATCAAAAAAGGATGGAAAGTTGGTTGTCGAAGAGTTATAGGGCTTGATGGGAGTTTTTTGAAAGGACAATGTAAAGGTGAGCTGCTAACTGCCATAGGGAGGGATGCAAATAACCATGTGTATCCCATTGCTTGGGCAGTAGTTGAAATTGAGAACAAGCCCAACTGGCAATGGTTCTTGGAACTATTACATGATGACCTGGAATTACAAGGAGGCTTGGATTTGTGTGTTATTTCTGATCAACACAAGGTAATGTTTTCAATTATCTCCTTTTTTTTCATTTCATTTATACATGGATCAAGCAGTTAGTAATGAAATTTTTTAATGTAATTGATAGGGTCTTTTGGAAGCTGTAAAGGTTGTATTGCCACATGTGGAGCACAGACAATGTGCAAGACATGTGTATGCAAATTTCAGAAAGGTCTTCAGTGGTATAAAGTTCAAGAATATGTTTTGGACAGTTGCCAAGTCAACTGTTGAATGAGACTTCAAATTGAATATGGAGAAGATCAGAGAAGTCAATCCTGCTGCTTATGATCATTTGATGGCAAGGGAGCCTAAATCTTGGTGCATGGCATTTTTTAAAGGTGGAATGGCATGTGAGGCTATTGAAAATGGAATGGCAGAGTGTTTTAATGCCATCATACTTGATGCCAGAAAGAAGCCTTTGTTGGCCATGCTTGAGGAGATTAGACTATGTATGATGGAAAGGTTATTTAACTTGAAGCAAGAAGCACGTAAATGGGTGAATAATGTGTGTCTAGGAGCTATTAAGAAAATGGATGAGTTTGCTTTTGATATCAAGTAAGTATTATAAAATTAAGACAATGTATGAGTTTAGTATTGAGACTCAATATGTATACTAATTAAAACTGTTAATGTGTTTGCAGGAGTTGGTATGTTCATCCTAGTGGTTTGAATGCTTTTGAAGTGAGAAATGGCTTCCACTCATATGGAGTGAACTTAGAGGGGATGTACTGTACATGCAGACTTTGGGAGTTATCTGGGATCCCCTGTGTCTATGCCCAAGCAACCATAATTTACACACAACAGGATCCAGCTAGATTCATCAGCACATGGTTTGGTAAGGACAAGTTCTTAGCTACTTATGAGTCTAACATCCTTCCTGTTAATGGCAGTAATATGTGGGAACCAACACCTTACACCAAACCACTACACCTATTGAAAGAAGGATGTCAGGAAGGCCTTGTATGAAAAGGAAAAAGCATGTCTCTGAGCATCAAGACAGGTTTTCCCAAGTCTCCTCTAAGGGTAGAACTGTCCAATGTCAGAATTGTATGCAAATGGGGCACAATAAAGTGTCTTGCAAGAATCCCTCAGTCAAACCAACACCAAAGCCTAAGAAGAAAATAGGAAGGCCAAGGTTGAATCCAGAATTGACCAATTGCACTAGACTTGGGAGGGTGGTGGAAGAGGTGGTAGAAGAGGTGGAAGAGGTGGTGGAAGAGGTGGTAGAAGTGGTGGAAGAGGGTCTACCAGTGTTTATAAAGAAGGTGAAAGTTCTGGGAAAAAAGAACCTGGGATTGAGACTCAATTTGTCACCCAAACAACACCTAATGTTGAGAGTCAATTTGTCACCCAACAACACCTACCGTTGACAGTGAACATGTACCAGAAACACAGGAAGCAGATGTTAACATTGATGATGAAGGTGATGGTCTTGATATGGCTGATCTGGATCAAATACTGAGTGATTTGAGTTACCTTAGAGAGTCAAAATACAGTGAAGCAGAGATCCTTTTGTGTCTTAATATCACCCAATCACAACTTAAAGGATTTGATGCTTTGCTTCACCAATCCAAACAAGCTGCAAAGGTATATATTATAACATTGACAATGAATTTTATTTTTCAATAACATAACTAACTTGTATTCTTTCCCATGCAAGGATGTGCCTTTTGTGAGTGAACATGTATGTGACATCCCCTAATTTCTCGGCCAGAAAAGACCGATTTAATTTATGCTTTTTAAAATAAAATCAGAGAAATCTTTTCAAAAGATATTGCGGAATAGGTCCCCAATATAAAACATGATAATGTTTATCAAAACCCTTCTTTAAGAAGGTATATGTTTTCCATATATATCAAAACCTCGGGATGTCATGTTCCGATACAGATCAAAAGCATAAACAAGACATTATAAGTCTTTCAACAGTTATTTACAACTACTGGCCTATAATCAAAAATCTCTCATCGTCCTCCGACTATGCTCGGGGTCCACTACCTGTAATCATAAAAAAACTGAGTGGGTCAGGCTTGGGAGCCTGGTGAGCATATAGGGTTTTCAACCCACAATAATAATAACTTATTAAGTTCACCAATCAACAATAACCCTGATTACCCATTCCCGTTGTCCTCACTTTACGTCCCTAAACACCTAACACAAGGGACTTAGCCTAAGAAATATCATCGGGTTGGACACTACTGCTAAGGGGACTCCTCATCCATACATGTCCTAAAGGCAACCATGAGGGGGATTGGAGTACACCAATGAACATTTAGTTCATCAACACCTACAAGTTGCGAACTTGCTAGTGTACCACTGGACTGTCTAGAAAGGTCCGTGATCGTCATCTATACTCCGCTAGACGACTACAACAACACCAACAACAACACCGACACCGACACCGACACCGACACCGAGGCCTCTCATCATTTTAACACCCACCGACTATTTTTGTCTACCCATGTTCTACCCAACATATTTGTAGATAAAATACATATACAGTTTAAAACTTGTATAAAACATCAATTCAACAGTCACCTCAAATAAACAATTAACATATTTACACATAACACGTATTTTAAGGTAAATACTTCATATCTATGTGTAAATTGAAAGTAACTACACACTCACTTGATTTAATGAAAATCGGGCAGCAATTCGTTTCCAAAAACGATCGTTTCTAATAAAACCGGGAGTTTTATTGAGAAACCGGGCTCTGCGAAAGTCGGACTTCAAAACCGAAAAGATAAATTTTCCGGGCTTCACGGACACTTCGTGGCGTATTCCGGGGCTTATAATTGATACCGGGGCTTCGGGGGATGTTAATATGAAAGAAATATGAGTTTAGGGGCTAAAATAGACAATTTTCCAAAGTATACCCGGGAGGTCTCGCACTCTCCTATTTATAGGAGCGAGCCTCCTGATCCAACCACTGAGAAGAAGCCACGCGTCGCAGATCCGAAGCTCGCAGGGGATGGCTCGCACGAGGGCTGCACGTGCGAAGGCTTGCTGTCCTCTTCTTACTGGACCGAGGTCTAGGTCCGAAGTAGGGATGGTTCGTGGCAGCCTTGCGAGGGTTCGGACACGCACCAAAGGGCACGCGTCAGATTCTTAGTGGACCGCAGGTACTGTTCATGCGAGGATGAGTCATGGATCGGACACGGGGATCGGGCCGCAGCTCGGACGAATCAGAAGGCGACGCGTCAGCAGCTGGGTCTTCGGCTCGGACACGTGGTGCGATGACTCACCGAAATCAGCCTTATCCTTGCGAGATTTCTCGGAAATTGTGCCCCGACCTTCTAAAATTCGTAACTTTTGCATACGGGATCCGTTTTTGACGTTCTTTATATGCACGCGTAGGTAAAATTACGCTCTACAACTTCCGTGTAGACTTCGTCGGCTAATTTTGAATTTAATTTTATATTATTATTTTTAACAGACCGGGACTGGTAAATCCGTTAAAAATTCACAACTTCTTCATCCGACGTCCGTTTTCATCAGACTTTTTACCGTTGTGCTACTATTTACGAGACCTTCGATTCTCGTTTAGGTTGTGTCGGATAAAAATCACTCGATCTAAAATTCGAGTTTTTAGCTGTCTACTGCTAAGCTGAAACTTCGAAAAATCATAACTTTCTTATACGAAGTCAGATTTGGGTGTTCTTTTTATACCTACTCTCGGTTTAACGAACACTACAAGTTTTGTTTAGATCACTAAGGCTAAAAAGTAGTTTATCAAAAACTCACTTTTTACGACATTCAGCACCGAGCCGGTTTAGTCGTGAAACTTCAACAGGTCATAAGTTCTTCGTTATAACTCGGATTTCGGCATTCTTTATATATCTGTAATCCTTGTCACGACCACTACAACTTTCTTAATAAATATCGGCTTTATCTAAAATTTAATTTTGACGGTCATTTTTATTCTTAATTAATTAACTCCTAGTAATTAAGCATAAAACACATAAAATTCACATAATTCCTTTTTCATTTCTTCAAAATGAGTTACAAAGGTTAACCTAGACTATCACGTTAATATTAATGCCTAGGCTAGAAACACGAGTGTTACAATGTACCAGAAACACTGGAGGACAATGGTGAAAACAAGGAGGAGAGTGACTATGAAGATGGAGTTGAAGAATCACAGGAGGACAATGATGAAGATGGAGCTGAGGATGATGAAGAGGGAGTTGATGATACTCAAGTTAGGGTTAGAACTCAAGTCAGGGTTAGAACAAGAAAAACTTCTGAAAGGATCACTGAAAACATGTTGAAGAAAATTGTGATTGACAAGAAAGGAATAGGAATGGCTCCAGAAAAACCTCTTACTTCGAATTAGATTGGTTAGGATTTAAGCAGTTATATGGGCTACTTGGGCAAATTTGTTAGGAAGCCCTTTTTGGTAAATTTGTTAATATGCCCTTTCTTTTGTAAACAATATACAATATGGCTGCATTGTTAACACTTTGGGACTTTAGATTGGTTAGGATTTAAGCAGTTATATGGGCTATTTGGGCAAATTTGTTAGGAAGCCCTTTTTGGTAAATTTGTTAATAGGGATATGCCCTTTCTTTTGTAAACACTTAGGCTGATTTTGGTATGTTTTGTTGATGTATAACTTACATCCATTTTGTTCATTATGTTATATTGAAAAACATCCTTCATTTGCTCACATCATACACTTACAATTGTACATTGATCAAACAGTAGGTATCCATAAAATCATTTTTCATTCAACAACATACAACTTACATCCAACTGTCATTTAAAAGTTTACAACAACTTAAAACTACTTCAACATAATCCACACAATCACCAACAAACACAAAAAAAAACCCAATCTTCCATTTTTCACCTTCAACTTGTACAGGAACCTCTTGAATGCCATTGTTGTGAAAATCCACAGCTTCTTCCACAAATTCTTCCGCAAACTCATTGTGTACTTGAATGTCATTATTGTGAAACTCCATCAACAAGTTTCTGTATCAGTTGTTTGGTAATGGGGGATCGACCCAAGCAAAATACTTGCAATCTTTTTCCTCATCCTGTTATATAGGAAATAAAGCCTAATTGGAAGAGATTTGAGATGTAATTAAAGAGGTTTAAGGGATACTTACCCGGAAATTAGGGCAGCCGATGAACCTCCTGCCAGGGTTTGTTGGCCTCCATGATGTCCACTTACCAACGGGGTCTTCACAAAAGCATGTTGCCCTTAATGCTTGCCTTCGTGATCGGATATTGCTCCAACTTCCCACTGAGCTTGAAGATGCCATTTTGGTAGAGTTTTGTTTCGATGGAGGGTAAGAAAGGGTTTTTACAGAGGAGGAGTGGATGACGGGGAGGTTAATGGAGGGTATAAGGACAGTGAGCTGGGGTAACCGGCTATTATAAGGGTTACCGGTTCTTAGGGCTAAACTGAGTGTAATAGCCGGTAATCTGTCCTTTTTCATAAATGAAATTTAATTTGGGACTAAATCATAAACTGGGGCAAAACTTTGGGACTTTTTCGCAGATTTCCCTTGATGTTATAGGATATTTCACGTGTTTATGGATTTCATACGTATGGCATGATTAATATTATATATGCTTATATTTTGAAATTGCTTTATATAAAATTAAAAATTTGCATATGGATTCTTACCAACAGGATTAGTAAACTCATAAGTTTAGTTTCACATAAAATATATTAGAATTACCCATCTTTTAACATTCATCGGATTTTACCAAGAAAATATACATCAGTGCACTTGTGCATACATTTTGGGTTTTGCAAGTTGTAATCATAAAATTAAATGAGAATCCTAAGATCTTACAAATATTGACATCCTTTGTCATGTCAAAATAAGACCAAAAGGTTTATACGTCACCGGTATTTGATGTTGACATAGATGTCCTAGATGGTTGGGTTCAAATATCATTAGGGACAATGGTGTAATTTATAAGTAGATTAGAGAATATTTATGTTGTTGTTCTAAAAAAATAACCTATATATATGTAACATAACTAGGTTATAACCCGTGGAAACCACGGTAGTTATGTTCAAAGTTTTTATTATATAGACAAAAATAAGATTAAATGTCAACATAATAAAAAGTAATGTATTTCAGATTGTAAGTAAAGTCGGATGAATTTGATAAGTAAAAAAAAAATCTTTTAAATTACATTTTGAAACACTTCTTTGTATATATCATTTGACGTTTTATTGGTTAAATTACAATTTTTATCTAAAATCAATACTTCAATCATTATATGCTCATTTTTTCTGGATAAAGCAGCATATAAATTTTGTAAACTAAAATTTAACAATAATAATTTATTGTGTTAAAAAAAAGCTGTAAACGTATTTGTGATTGAAAGTAAACTAATATAATTTTTGATAATTATTTAAAGATAAAAAAGTAATTACATAGGTAAAAAGTTATTGAAAAAAAAATACATGGACTTATGCTCGTACACTAACAAAATATAGGGATTAAATTCAAACTTTAAATAAGAAGCATGTAATTGGATTAGAGGAGGTATAAGAATTTTTAAATCAAAGATGGTTTACCGGTTATCAGAAAAAAAAAACGGAAAAATTGAAAATTCCCTATAAATACTTCTTAGTTTTTCGATAAATTTATGTTATTAGGGTAGGATGTTTTTTAAAATTTTAAATGAAAGATTTTTAAAATTACCAAAAAAAATGGAAACTTGAATTTTGAATTTTGAATTCCTCATAAATATTTTCCGGAAAATAAAGAAATACCAAAAAAAAATTTAAAAATTAGGAATTTCTTAAAAATTGCCACGTGTCAATTAGTCTACTTAGAAATGAGACATGTGACATTTAAATGTTTTGTTTATTAAAGGAGGTAGATTTAACTTGTAATGTACCAATAAAAACGTTTTTATTTTTATCCCTGAAGTTTTAACCTTAGGATGTTTGTTGTTTAAAAAAACGTGAAAAATGCATCTCTATCCATTAGCTGGACGTTTAGAAGTTATATAATGTCCATACATCAACGATAACAAAAACTATTTAATCTATTATAATATATAACAAAAAAATGAAAATAATGATATGTTGCACAAGATGTATCAACCAAAAGTTCAATATGTCAATCATTGTAACTTATGTGGAACTCGTGGGCAAGAATTAGTCCAATATTTCTATGGTTTTTACCTTACACCTTTAATGATTTACGATTCAACAATATGAAAAATAAATAAATAAATAAATAAAGAGTAAATGAGTACGAACCTATCGAATAACGAATGAATTCATAATTTGTTGGAATAGTAGGATCGGATCCGATCCGATCACGATCTCACAATCCCAAATGTGATTTTAGACAAAACTTGATCCAAATATACTTTCAATCGTTTTCAGAATTAGGATCGTAAGATTATACAATCATGATCGAGATCTTAACAATCTTCAAAAACAACTAGTAGTTCGTGGTGGTAATTTTTATTTGTATAAAAATGTTTATCAAAAATAATTATAAGCTTTTGAAAGTAATAAAACTACATAAAACATAAAAGATAAAAACTTTTAAAAGTTGTAAAATAATGTTTATAAATTTTTTGTTCTAAAATAAAAAAATATAGATACGTATTCTAAATAAAATCTTTTTTTTTCCCTTAAATCAATTTTACAAAATTAAAAGCTCTTAAAGTTGAGTGTCAAAAATCTAATAACTTTTTTTTTTCAAAATAAAAGAGACATGCCCCATATCAAGAGACAACATCATCAAACAAAAACAACCTTTGTTAGTCACCATCACAATCTATTTTGAGTCGTTTATTCGATCATCATTGCTTATAAAAAGGTAAGTAACTTCATGGGTAGAAGAATCCGATTATATTTTATTTACCACAAAGCTTTATACCAATTATTACACCAAGGACAACCAAAGAGCACACACTTACAATTTTTGGCTTGTTGCTTTGAATACGAATGATCAAAAAAATTAAACAAAACATGTCATCAAAAACCTTATCCAGAAAAGATATGCAATACATTTGTTAAAACAACAAAAAGGAGATATACACCCTTTTAAAAATAGTTTTAAATTATTTTCGACAAAAATAAATCTAACAAGCATCATACAAGAAAAGCTTTATTATCTAAAGGATTAATAAAACTTTTTTAGGCCATCATACATATATCCTAGTTTATTCTTTGAGCTTACACAATATTCACTAAAATAGACTATAAATTTAGTTTTATATTTAAAAATAATAGTTGCAATAGATAAGCTCATTGAGTTTTTAATACGATACATTAATTTTTAATTATATATCTAAATATTATTTTATTTCATCTTGTATTTACTATCTATCTTGTCAACTAGTTATTACTAAACACTATTACTTTATCAGAAAAAAATAATCTTTCAGCTAAAAACTATTTAAGGTAGCTTATTAATAAGCTAGTGGAGTTTTTTATACAAGTCTTTCAAATATGTCGTATACATTAGTTAATCTGTCAGTTAAAAACTAGTTTTCAAGTTAAAACTAATATTTTAGTTAATTTGTCAAACACAAGTTTCATATTTTCCAAGTTAATATCGAACCTTAAAGGAAAAAAAAATCATTATCTAACACTCTAATTTCATTCCTTAAAAACCCGTATATTTGTGGGTTGTTTGGCAAAAAAGCTTATGACTTATTAGCTTATAACTTATTAGTTTATTAGTTTATAAGCTAATAAGTTAGAGGGATGTAACTTATAAGGGTGTTTGGCAAAAAAGTTTATTACTTATTAGCTTTTATAGCTTCTTAGCTTATTGACTTATAAGCTAATAAGTTAGAGAGAGTTAATTTATGGAAAAATGACTTATTAGCAATTTGACATCGTTATAAGTTGTTTTTTATCCAGATATTTTTTTAGCTTATAGTGATATGAAACTGATAATAAGGCTATTGGGTGTGGGCAACGATGTTCCATGTTATAACATGAAGTGGGGTGGTGTTCCTCATGTTATAACATGCTGTTAAGATGATGTGTTAAGATGAGAGAGATAAAGAGAAAAAGAGGAAAAAGTGATTTGATTGGGTGTTATCTCCCGTTCCCGTTACCACATCCTAATAACACAACATCTAATAACACCAAGCTGGGACGGTGTTCCACTGCGTTTTTAGATAATAATGTGAGTGGTGTTGCCCGCTCCTAGTAGTCTTAGCTAATAAACTCAATGTTAACACCATCATAACACCATCATCTTAACAGCATGTTATAACATGAGGAACACCACCCCACTTCATGTTATAACATGGAACATCGTTGCCCACACCATATCAATGTCCAAACACCAATCAATTCCTTTTTTCTCAAACCCCATATCAATTAAAGCGTCACAAATAATAATTATCCCAAATTAAAGTGGTAGTGATTTCTGAAGATGTGAGAAAATGTTAAACTAGGGAACTTTAACAAACAATGAAACTGAGGCACTAGGTAACCATTAAAACTTTTTCTCAAAAGTCTTGCATTGAGTTTTTAAAAAATTAAGTGTAATGAAATAAAATACTAAAAAATGGCGTTAGTATAATAAAATAATAAAGACTTTAAGAAAAATAATATAAAACAACAAAAAAGTAAATTTTATTTATTGAAAAGGAATTGTGATAAAGAAAAGGTTAAAAAGATACATAGAGAAACGTGTATTACAATGACAAGACAGTTGTATGGGCAGGAAGCATGGGCGGGTGATTAAAGCCAGTAACCATCAGACATTAAACATATATTACAACATTACACAGTCACTGCAGTGCCCCCCCCCCCCCCCCCCCCCCCTCATTTTTTTTATTTAGTTGTGAAATTTTGTATTGCTTATTTTTATAAAATTTAAATTTAAAAGTATATATATTAGTTGAAAACTATAGTTTTTATTTATATATAAGTATATAAGTATTTTAAAAATATAAAATAATTTATCTTAAGCACATCATTGATTTTTTTAAAAAGATAAGTAAATTATAAAAGAGTTTTTTTCTTAAACGCTAATTGGAGACTTCAAGTAGCAGTTGGAATTTTTATTTTAACTGAAACCTAGAAGCTGAACATAACTTTTTTTTTCTCTAATTTTTTTAAAAACTAAAAGTTAAAAACTCTAAGAAAATATTTGTCACGCTGTTAAACAAACAAACAAACGAATGGTTTTACGTTTAAATGAAAAATAAAAGAAAAAGATTACATAAAATTCATTATATATTTTGGCATGGTTGTTTTAGTTACTTGAAAGTTTGACAATTTTCCAATATCGACAATTATGATATACTGTATTATGATAGCTTAAAATAGTCATTAAAGAAAATTCTGTCAAAATTAACATTAAATTTTTCACTAATCCTCTAAAATATAATAACTTTTTTTATTTGACAATTTTATTTTAACATGTTATATTGTGTTATACGATGTCAAAATGATGAATATATGAAACAATTATAAAACTTGTATGGTTTAAACAATAAAAATAACCAAAATAAGTTTTATATAATATGTCCAGAAATTAAAAAGATTATTTATGAATGCTTCAATAATATTTTGTAAAACAATAAGTTCTGTCGGTATTTTTCAGCATGATATATATTTTTAGTTCGTGTCCATCATTTGTAATACTAATAAACAATTAAAAACTCTTTAATAAAGTAGAAAAACCACTATTATTGATACATTGCAGTATTTGTACTTTACACCTTCACAAACATATCAAGGTATTTTGAATTTAAATGAAAAGGCGCAATCTGAAGTTTTGTAGGGATATATCATATATATATCTCAATGTAATATTGTATTAATAAGAAATAAAAATAAAAAAATAATAAGTAAATCGAAAGAACAAACCTGTCATAAGAAAGAGCTTTGCTTGCATATGAAAGCTGATAAAATAACTAAACATCATATCATGTAGTTTTTTCTAGCATTAAATCTAGATTGAGCCGTCCCCGCCAATATCACCACCGCCACCGGAGTACTGCTACCACCCAATGAAGCCAAGCACCATCACAAGAAACTGGGCTTCAGCTTCGGGATGACACACCACCACCACACTATCACCATTCTCTTGAGAACAACACCTTGGAGAACACAAAACCGCCGCCCGCCGCCGTGAAGCGCCTACATCACCACCCACCCTATATATCATGCGGAAAGCATCGGAGATATTATGTGTTTCCTCCATTTTCTTGTTGTAAGCTGGTCAAAGAAGTTCTTTCTGTACATCTCGATTGAAGTTGTCTGGCTTCTTTGGCAGAAAAGAACAGGTTTCAAGACTAAGCTATCAAAGAAGTGCCGATAAAATCAAGGGGGATGCTCAGAAGTAAAAACAAGAGAGAGGAAGGTTGGGGTGGGGGGTAGGTATTTCAAAGGGGTGTGATAGGTATTCTTGTCTTATCTTGGGAAACCCTACGCATGAAAGAAAACTGTTTCCTACAAATACAGTAAAAAACGCAACAACATTTTAAGGCTACAAGCCTACGTATCCGAGTTTCAATAATATATACTCCTCCCTTTCAAAATGTCAAAATGACAGAAAACATTAATTATCATTCATTTTATTAAATGAAATGACAATTATATCTTCTTGTTGCATTTAATTTTATGGTAGTTACATTTAATTTTATTGTAGTTTTATTAATAATGAAAGGTATTTTGGTAAAAATTATATTTATTTTTAGAATTGGACAATTATTTTGGGACAAAAAAAAGAAACATTGACTATTAATTTGGAACGAAAGAAGTATATTTTTTAATTATAAAAGGTATAAAAAATTGGGCTAACTCTGTAAAACCATTATACTCTTCTGTTATTTCTTTTATTTAAATTCGATTATAGTTTGAAAAAAATTCCATAATAATTTGAAAAAAATTCATTAACATGTTTTAAGAACTTATGTGTTATTCGAGTGAATATAAGGTATATAATTAATATAATAAATAAATAACGCTTGTCAATTATTTATTAATATTTTTTAGGAAAATGATATGACTAACCTGTTATGAACTTTTGCATTCACATTTTTTTTCAACTTTTCAATTAAATCATTTATGAACAAGGTTCTAACAACGTAAGATGTGATTTGGCGGCATTATTAAGCCTCAAACTTTTTTGAGTCGTGATGAACCATATCGTTTATAAGGCGTGACTTAAGGCGACATTTTTGCATATAATTAATAATTTACATATATTTTCTACTATTATTCGTTTTTATATACACATATGACTTAAGCCAGCATTTTGTTAAAGTTTGGTGGTAGATAAAAGACAAGCTTTTTAGAACATTGTTTATAACATTACGAAGGATTTTGACTTCCGTATTTTTGTTTATGAAATAATTTCACTAAACTCTAATATTATGTTTTGAAAGTTTTAACAATATGATATCATAGATGTTTTCTTTTACAAAATGATTTTTATAATATATATATATATATTAATTTTGGAAATCTTTAGAAATAGTTCATTTTGTACATTTCAAACATTGGCCATAATATTTTTGAAATATGGCAATTTTGGTCCTTGTATGCTCCACTGCCTGTTGATTCTAATACAAATAGATATCCCACCGTCTTTGGCTCTCTTTATCCATTACATTAATCTCTCTCTTCGTTTACAAAATTCCACGCTTTTCTTCTATTGTGACCGCCATTTTTTCGGGCGTTCTATTCTCAACTGAGTCGGAGCAGGTACTAGCGACGGTGGACAAAATTCATAACCCTAGGAAGAATCAACATATCCTTTCTGTTCGCTCTCGCCTCCTTCTATATTCGGTTAGGGCTCAGATTGTTTCATATATAATCTCCAATTAATGATTGCTCTCATCATACCTCGAATTTGCATCGTCTCAGGGATGCTTCACCCGAAAAGGCCCCCATCTCTCAAATTACCGTCTGTACAATCAGAAGTTGAAGACTACAACTACATTCTACACACAGTCGTCCTATCTCCGCTATGCCTTCATCCACTAAAGCCCGTCGTAGGTTTTGGGTCAGTTTCTTCCAAACGAACTTGTAATTCCTTTTAGGGCAATCAATTATAAAATAAGTGTTCATCTTTTTTGCAGGAAAAATCACATCTTGCTAAGATTATGTGCAAACTACTTTGCTCAACGTCGTCTCCGTCAGCCACGGTTCTCAAAGTCTTCCAGACACCGGATGTAGGATTGAACAAAATGAAATCAGGTTTGATTTTAGAGACATTGAAACAAATTATATCATATTACTTATTTTCTTTTGAACACCATAGATTTGTTTTTTCCTTGTCAGATTACTTACAAATATCAGTGCACATCAGGTGCTCGACAAAATGTGTCAAAGAATGTTCAAAGCTTTTTTGTCAAAGATGTTCGAAGCTTCTTTTGTCATGGATATCTATTGAACCTCATTGCAAAGTGATATCAGTCTATGAAAAATGATGTGTTTACCCAAACCTTTAATGATTAGTCGTTCTAAGTTTTAGTTTCAAGCCAATATTGTGATTACTTGAATATAACATGTTTCAGTTGATATTGTTGAATACATGATGGTTCTAGGTGATCATATGAGAGAGACACTTCAACAAGTCCAAGATGTTGTTCATATTACATGTATAATCATAAGAGAATATCGTGCTTTATATGGAATTGGTCATAGTTACAAGCATTGTAAGCAAACATCTAGATTATTTACATGTTTTCATTTGGAAAATTTCCATTATAAGTTATCCTTGATGTTTTTATTGAAGGTTTGGGTGTTTTATTTTGGAAGTTACTGTTTGATTATTTAACTTTACACACTAAAATCTAACGTTTCTTGGTTCTATATGTAATGTTACAGGAAGATATGTTCTTTATCTAAGGGACCTCTAGATTTTATTCTGAACTAAAGTCCGTGAGTGTTCTACGCATTCATGTGTGGACTGAATCGCACATTTGGTTACTTCTCGATCACAATTTTAATCTAAATGCTTAACTGGATGTATGATCATACGATCACATTATCTACTGAACAATTTCAATTTTGTAATGAAAAACACCCACAATGTGCATTTTTTATTTTTACTTAATTTTGATCTTTCACTTTTGTGATTTCTATAGGGATTGTGGGAAACAAGTTTATTTAGGTAAGTAATTGTGATCACTATTTGTCATTTAACATTTGATTCTCTTAGTTCTTTCTATTTCAATTTGGATCTGTTTCCATTAGTTCCTAATTTGATTGTTCTATCAGAATTCTCTGTGCTTGATTTTGTAGGTGGATTCAACATTGCACATGTTGCTGCAAGGTAAATAGTTCTCTAATAGTAGCACCTTTTAAACCATCATCGGTATATGAATTTTCTCTTCATTATACAGGGCATATGATCAAGCTGCCATTAGATTCCCATGATTAAATGTTGATATCAATTATAACATAAACGATTACCATGAACATCTTAAACAGGTTCAACTAACCTATCAATAGATCTTCGATCATATTTAGACTAGATTGCTACTGTATAAAACGTACTTTATAAAACGTACTTTAACTGATTGTTAATAAATTTTCTAGATCAAAAACTTAACAAAGGAAGAGTTCGTTCATGTTCTTCGTCTTCAAAGCACTAGATTCTCTATAGGAAGCTCAAAGTATAAAGGCGTTGCCCTACACAAATGTGGTCGATGGGAAGCTCGAATGGAATGGTTTCTCGTGAACAAGTAAGAACATATGAAGTTTAATCAGTAAAATTGGTTCAATTTTCATCATAATTTGCATTTTTTAGGTACATCTACCTTGGATTATTCGAGAAGCTGCAAGGTTCATTTGTATCTTGATCTTATTTCTCCTTTTTTTTCAATTTTATTATTCTAAATTCCATTGAAATACTCTATTCTTCCTGTTTCTTCATGGGTTTTTTTCTTATGGATATAGGATTTATGATATTAATGGCGTTTTGTAGCCAATGATTTGTTATAGTGTTACAATTATGAAACCAATTTGTTAATTTATTGTACGAACTCTATTTAATCTACTACATTTTCTCATTAACTTGTAATTATATGCTTATCTTCCTATGAAAACAAAATAAAAAAATAACTGTAAAATGTTAGTGTATTTACTATTATTTTAAGTGTTAAATTTATCTACAGAAACATGATTTGCTATGTATGGGATGATAAAATTAATTCCATTTTTGTTTGTTTCAAGCTTTAGAATGACATGTGAATGCAAGATTATGTATCGATCTTTGTACTACAAGAGAGAGGTATTTTCACATTTATTATTATTTTTGAATTTATTGTAGTACATTTTTATGTTTAAAATGGAAGACCAATGTTTAAAAAAAAATTGAAATGATTTGGCTATGGTTACATTTTTTCTATTATTGTTACATTTTTTCTTTCTTTAATTAATTAATGGTTTTACTGGATCACTTGAAAATTAAAGTTTTAAAATAATATAACTACTTGTAAGAAAATTTGTGGTGTTTTAACTTTTAACTATATCTTAGTGATAATTTATTTTTAATAGTTTTGAACAATTATCATATATAATTATAAACAAATTTTATTATAATACTATAATAGTATTAATAAACATTAAGAAATATGGGTGAAAAGTTTTTGTTTGTTTCAGTTGGCATAAACATGCCAACTTATGAAAATAATTATTTGACTTTTAAATGGTCAGATCATCACAATCAAAATTATATTATCTAAGACATTAAAACATGATTATTATCATTTAAATTAGTAATATAGTCATTCATAATGGGATAACTACAAATAATTTGGAGAATTAATGAACTAATGTTCCACTTACATTTTGAATAAGTTACTAAGATGGGTAACTTTGGAAAATGACACTATTGAAGTGGTTAAGTGTAACACCATGTTTCGAGTCGTTTCATAAATTTGGGTCTGTGACCTAAAGATCAAGTATCATAATGCTTTGGGATTTTGGAAAGAGAGATTTAGACCCATTTGGATGTGGGTAATGTAGATTATGTGATCCAAAAGTTCGGTTTGTGCTTTGAAGTCAAAGGATAAAATGGGAAAAGTGGTGTTTCAGACTTCTTTTATGAATTAAGGATTTTAGTTAGATGGGTTTTAAGTTAAAAGTAATTAGATAGGGTTGTAGAGCTCCTCAATACATTTCTGTGTATATAAAGATAGTCGAAAATGGAGTTGGAACGAAGAAGTTATAGTCGTTAGAAGTTAGGAAGGTTTTGGACTTAGTCTAGTACGTTGGCGTACTAGGACATCCCTGAGTACGCTGGGCGTACCAAGAGTACATTGGGGGTATGCAGTCAGTGCCCAAACCCTATTTTCGTGGTTGAGCCCTATTTAAGCTCCTTAACTTCCCCAAACCCATTCTATTCTTAGCCTCCACCTCTCCAACACCATCCCTTGAAAACCCTAACCCTAGTTTGAGCCTTTTTAGAAAAAGAAGGTGTGCTTGAGTGCTTTGGAGTGTTCTTGGTGCATCTTGGAGAAGAAGGAACTCTTTGGAGAAGTGTTGGTTGCATTGGAGCTTATCGATCCAGACTTTATTCGCCTTGATCTTTCTTCTAGAGGTATAAAGTTTGAATCTTGAAGATGCATTTGATAGATCTATCTAGTCTTGGTGTTATGAGCTTTTGGTCACTTTAGTGCATAAAGTTTAGATCTTGAAAGTTTGTGACTTTGTTATGGATAAAGTTGGAAACTTTATCCATCTAAACATCATATTGATTCAGATCTAAAGGCTTGAGACTTGGACTTAATGGATTAAGTTGGAGAAGATGCACTTTTGGTCCCTTTGAGACTTAAAGACTAGATATTGGTTGGTTGGACCATTCTGATGGATAAAGTTGGAAACTTTGTCCATTATGGAGTTATTAGGAACCATAAAAATGTAATCTTGGACCTTAGTTTCCTTCCATGCATGAGCTAGGATGTCTTAAAGACTTAAGAAGTTAGGGTTTTCGGTATTGAGCACTTAATGGCCATGCAAGACCATAAAGTTGGAAACTTTATGGTTTAGGACATCATTTGAGGACTAGATCTGGAATTTAGATGAAAGAGCATAAGGGATTAAGCTCTTAATAGAAGGAAATGATGGTTGCACGTATGCTGGGTGTACACTATGGTACAGAGGGCGTACGAGGTCAACACCTCGTTTCTGGTCAAGGCTTGTGTACGCTAAGCTTACAAGCTGAGTACGATGGGCGTACTTAGCTGAGTTAACTCGGTTGACTTTTTCAATTTTCGACATTGACATGTCTTTGACCTAGGGGTATTTTGGGTATATTGATTATAAGTTAAGTTTGTTCATGTTCCAATGAATACGTGACCGGTAGAGCTGATATTCAGAGCAGTGTCCTGTTCAGTGATCTTTCAGACGGAGCGGTGAGTCTTCTCAATATATCCATGGGTCGAAAGCACCAATGTCGTCCCATTACTTTGTTATGTAGAATGCTAGTTGTCTCTGTGATACTTGCATGAAATACCAGGAATTGGCCCCTGACAATTGTATGAAAGACCAGAATTTGGCCCTTGGCAATTGTATGAAAGACCAGGATCTGGCCCCTGTCACTTGTATGTAAGACCGGGATTTGGCCCTCAACATTGCAAGGAAAGACCATGATTTGGCCCATGGCAGGAAGTGATTGTAAGACTATGATTTGGCCCATAGCATTCACTTTCTTATGTATGGTATGTGGTATTTTGGGGAACTCACTAAGCTTTGTGCTTACAGTTTTATGTATATGGTTTCAAGTACCTCCGGTATGAAAGGGAAGGGCCCAACGTAACTGCACTGCATTCACCAGAGTTTTCCGCATTAGCAGTTTTCAATATTTAGTCTGATGTTTAAATAATATATTCACTTTGATCGGTTTTGGAACAACTCGTTTGTATGGTTTGTTTTTTTTAAAATGAAAATTTTACTATGAATTTTTGGAACATTACAAGTTGGTATCAGAGCTTTGGGTTGAGGGATTCGGGCACACGCTCGGGTATATTTGAACTCAAACTGGGGAATTGGTAATCTTTTGAAAGAAAATAAGTTTCTAAAAACAACTTTGTAAATAAGTTTGTGAAAAGATTTTTATAAAGAAAAAGGGGGTGTGATGTGTGCAATCAGCCGAGCTCAAGTAAGTGATTCCCAGAATACATATACATGTTGTTATTATATAAGTTATGAGAATTGCATGCTAGATTAGGGTTAAGGATCTTCCCAGGATTCCATGTTAGGAGAGATGCCTTTATATGCTTGATTGTTTGAGCTTTTGGAATTACATGCTAGTATAGATTTCATATGATTGGATGGATTGGCCTAATATGTGAGGCCTCATAGCCTAAGAGGATCAGATGATATGCTAGAACTGGAATCTATATTGGTAGAAGTAATTGCCAAGTGTATGCTTTAAAAACTGTATACGATTAGGATCATATAGCCCTAGAATGACTGATTTTGCCTTATCTTCTGTTCCATGTCTGGTTGTGGTCCTAGGGTAGAGTCTTTAATTCAACAATCTATTTGATCCTGTATTGTGTATAATTTGCATGCATAACGTAACCGGAAGTGAGCGTAGAATTTCCTATCATGGTAGTAGCAAGTGAGCTTGAGATGTCCTTTGATTGATTTTATGGCTTGGAGTGTAACTGCACGAATGTTTCTTGCTTTGTGCTTTGTGGGACTCTTAATGGTGTGAGTTAACTATTGATCAAATATGTCAAGTCACATGTTGCATAGGTTAAATAATCTCAGAGTGATTGAATTAGCCCTACTGTCCAGCTCTCGTCAGAGTCTAACCGTTGTAGGGTTGAGACTTTTACTCGAAGGATTGTCTAAGATTTGTTGCATATGATTGTATTTATGAAGTAGTTAACTGACATTATTGGGAGTTTTTCAGAAGCTGATGGCAGGGTGAGGTCAGGAACCTAGGAGAGCCTAGGAAGTTCAGTAGTGGGTTCAGATACACTATTTAGCGAGTACTTGGAGTACCAGATTAAGAAGGTGACCAGGAGGATTCGAGATAATTCTTAAGGAAAGTATGGATAGGTATGGAAGGTAGTATTAGGCCCGTACTACTAAAATCACAGGATCCATACTCAAATCGAGGGGAGTCACGAAGAATTTAGGAAGCCTATGGGTTGAGGATTATTGGGTATGTTTTGGTCAATTGTATGACTGCTTTCAGAATGGCAATGAGCATGCATGGAGGAGGTTCATGTTCTGGTTCATGCTCAGGTGCAGGTACTGAGCCGATTGATGAGCAAATGTGGGAGTTCATCTGTTCAGAGATCATCCACGGTATTTTGGAGCATACTCCTATGATCTTCGGAACGGTCAAGGAGGGGATTATGGAGATTTTGGATGAGCGTATGGGCGCGTTCCACACTGAGATTATGACTATTGTGGGAGCTCACACTCTTTCCTTTCACAAGTCCCGTGCTTGTGGAACTCCTAAGTTCTTTGGGGAGAAGGACCTCATTGCTAGTAGGAGGTAGTTAGTGTATATGGTAAACACTTCCCATATGAGTTTCTACCTCGAGGGGTCAAAGGTCAGATTTGTTTCCTGTCTTCTAAAAGATAGAGCTCGATATTGGTGGGAGGAGGTAGACTTCGCTTTGGGAGGCGAGGTCATCGAGACGATGACTTGGGATGAGTTTGTGACCCGGTTTAGGGCAGAGTTTACACCAACTATTGAGGTGCAACAGTTGGCGAGGGAGTTTCAGGACCTTCGCTAGACGACTGATACTGTGGCCGAGATCACCGCCAAGTTTAGGGAGAGGACTATTTTGGTTCCACAGTATGCCGCAGATGAGGAGATGAAAATGACAAGGTACCATGATATGCTGCGAGACAATATCAGGGAGTTTGTGACATTTTCAACTTGTCGGACTTTGGAGGACATGATTGCTAGAGACCGAGAGTCATGTTTAGGGGATATTTGGGCAAGACAGTTTTGGATTTCGATATGGGAGGCATCGG